CCAATCAAGCCAGAGCCAGGGCTGTGTCTTGATTACGCAACATTGGTGTTCCGCGCTGCAGGGCGGCAGCTAATGTATGCAGGTGAACGGAAGCAGACGAACGCGGCTGCTTTCAATGGCTAAATGTCCTAAGCTCGGGTTTGGTTTCAGGGGCTCACCAGTGGCATCACCTAACTACGATCAGTCCATAAGCTGGCACGAGAGCACACTAGTGACTTCTCGTTACAACTCACCCATATTAAGATAATCTAAGCCTGTTTGTGGTGGTAAGCAGTACCAGACATCTCCGACAGGGATGAGTATTGAACACGCTCAGGTCATCTCGTTGGAGGGACACATCACTCGGGGCAGGCCGAAGCTACGCACACTGGAGGCTTGTGGCCTGGAACTCAATGATATCAGAGCCTTGTTGCCCGGTTCTCGTGCGTGCGATGCCAACAAACCCGGGAGATCCGCCTAAGATGCAACGCGCTGAGTTTGGATGGGGTGCATGCCCGAGAGAACCTGCATGGCTCCCAGGGGGGGTTCCATTATACGCGGCCTGTCTTGCCGAAAATGCATGCAAGATTTAGTCTATTATATCTAGATAACCGATCGATGGGGGTGCGGAATGAGAGATGGGTGCAGAGTTTCGCTGGGTATCTCGAATTTGCACCACGGTCCACGTGTGCCCCTGACCACCCTGTGCGCCTGCTTAGGTCCCGTACGATGCAAATTCAAGCGCAAGGCTAGGACACTAAGATCGCTATTCTTGGCTAATGTTTGACTGGTACACTGACTCTCACGCGCCGTAAGTCGCGTCTCGTTCCCGGGGCGATCCTCAGCCTGTTTCTCCACGACACCCTCTCTCTGCAGGACGCCCTGAGGAGGTGTGAAGGGTGTGCGCTGGTGCCATGCTCGCATGGACAGGGCGTACAGAATGGTACAAATAGTTTAACCCTAGGGCTTCTCAATCATAAGGCATTCACCGTCTCCTACAGGGATGGATTGCATAGGTTGATGACTTTCTCTCCCTGTGGCCTGGAGGAAGCGCCGGAGCGACACAGGAGCCCACGCCCCCCCAGGCGCCACGCTATCTATTTCCGTGTCAAGGCCACGCTTCCATGTCCAGCAAAGCTTTGAAGGTGGTCAGACGAGACGGGATGGCGACTAAGCGGTGGTGGCTGGCTGGTGCGAAGCCGAATACGCCCCTCGCATCTCTCCCAGTTTGAGGCCAGCCATATCCTGGTCCATCGCGGGCGCACGATACCGACGAGATCCTGAGCCGAGAACCAAAGATGGCCAGGCTGTCATCTAAGGGACGCTGAGCAGACAGCGGGGTGTTTCTTGCTGCGATGCTTTGTGGGCGGCCGCTGGAACTTTGTCTCGGATCGGGACATTCCCAAGGCATCCGGACTTGGACCTAGACCTCTCCACACTTGTGGACCTAGGAAATACATGGCCAAGTTTCTTGGAACTCAATCTTTCGGGATACCGCATCCGGAATATTCAATGGCTGCCTCCCTCGTGGCCTTGCTCGCCTTACTTTGGCACACAAGAGGACTGCTCTCGGAGCGGCCCCTGAAGTTTGGCACGCGGCTTTCGAAGGGTGAGGCGAGGGGACCTAGAAAGAGGCGTGAACCTTTTACCACCAACAGCTTAAGCGAAGAGCCTGATCTTTGGAACGTAGGTTCACCGGTGTGAGGTGGATGGTGTGTGTGGGGTTGCCAAGTAGCTAAGGTGAAGGAGAGCCTCCAGCTTCGTCCCAGTGATCCAACACGCCGCCCCTGTCACACTTTACAGGAGATGAGCCTCTAGAATACATTCTATCACCACCCCTTACACTACTCAGAGGGTACTGTAGCCAACGCCAGACACCCGCAGCCCTCTCTAGTGCCGATCAGCTACTCCAGTTTCTTCCCCGGTGCCCTTCGGGGCTAGATTACTAGCCGTTTCGCCAACCTGTTGCTTCCATCATCGTGATAAGACCCTCCCAATCACCGCCATTCATACTTGCTTCGTCTTGTTTTCTCTTCTCTCTCCTCTCCTCTCCTCTTGCTTTTCTGCACATTGTCGACGGACATGAGCGGTGTGAGATGCTCCCCCCCTCCCACTCACGCCCCGGTGCACACCCGGAAGGCACAGCACTATTCTACACATCATGTCGGCGCGCCTTCTTGACCCCGTGACCAGAACCGAACGCGACTTCTTCCATTGAGTCACAGACACGGCCAGTTTAGTCACCTGGTAAAGGATCGGGAAGGGTCATGGAAGTCACAACCTCTTTCTTTGCACAGGACTAGTAGCCTCTCGGGCCAGTACAAATACATCAATACGGCCTCTGACCAGCAAGTTCCCCAAACTGCCTCCTCCCCCTCTTCAATCAAAGCAGACTTCGGCAAGATACAGTTACGATGGCGCCTTCAATGTTGGTCTTGCATAGCGATAATTCTAGTTCAACGTATGCTTCCCCATCCTCCCATCTCCTGCTTACCACACAACGCCCCACTAACTCTGAACTACCCATAGTACCGAAACCCAACGATCCGAGATACTCCCATTGTCGACAACTCGAATGCCATCGATCATCCTCAACCGCTACGTTTACGACTTCGGAGGGCCCATCAACGCCCGCCTACAGAACCCGCTCCGATCCTTCTGTATCACTATTCTTGTTTGGAAACGATTCAGAGCCTCAAAGCCTCCGGTAGTTTGGACCATAATGCCCCCGATTTCATATCAGGTGTTCTCAGACGGCGATTCGGACCTCCTCTTGGGGATAGGGGCACAGTTCAACCCCCATGACCCGAAAAATTAGGCGTGCTTGGGCTTTTGACGGCTCTGGATAACATTATTGCCGCTGGGGGGGCCAGCTCAAGCCACCTGAATCACAACCTGCGACCCAAAAGCAAATGGCTCCCGTGTCCGTTAGAGCATCCACCAACCTCCGCGACTCTTCACATCATGTTACTTTGACTGCGCGACACCGAACCTTTGAGCTGGCTCTTCCACGTTGTTTGATTACCCTCAAATTCTTGCTTCCCCCTAACTAAGATTACCCTTACTTCGTTTTCAATATGGAGTTGCGCTTGATGCCTTTCTAGCACTGATGAATCATTTCCCTCTCGGCGGATATGCATCATCTCCCTTCTTGGATCTTTCACCATCCAAAGACTCAAAGATGGTAGCAGTTCATTTTGATGGAGCAGTCAATCCAGGGACTATACTTGATTCACGATACATGTGATGGGTGATCAACGACTGGGGCCTGGAGCTTTTATCCACGATGTTTATTCAAGTCAGATAACTGTACTGGCTTTGCCGACACTTTGTAGTCGAATCGATTCCTCGCCTTTTCCCAGTCCAGTCATGGGCAACGTTGTTCATAGGCCCATAGTCTTGCATCTCCATACTCCTCGTCCATGTAGCCATTATCTACTACATGCTGGATAGATCCCCTTCGCATACGCCACGACGAACACACCGACGTCAGGCCGTTCGTGTCTTGGGCTTGTCGTAGATGGTCTTGATGCAGCAATCAAGGCACTGCTTTTGGCCTCTGTTGCCCAAATTGAGTTCTGAAATAGGAATCTGTCTGTGACAGACAGCGCACGTGTCCCACTCAGGAACGCCCGTGATAATCTTGTCATGTTCTATGACTTCATTGACACAATCCTGGCAGCGTTCGTAAACTAGGTCACCTGTAACCTTGCGGCAGTCCACGCAGCGGTCGTTTGAGTTGTTGGACATGTTGATGTTGTTGCAAATATTTGGGTTGGTTGTGTCGCGTGTGGTGGCGACTGAGGAGATATTCGTTGTGGCCGAAGTCACGACTTAACACTCACAAAGAATTATATCTGTCAGTGATAAGCTCCACATAAACTCCAGTGACAAGTTTAGCAGGGTGCTGAAGGACTCACTGTCTATATATGATCTTGACTCAACTGCTTAGCTGTGTTCTCGAATTGGAAATCTGGCTTTGAAGAGTTATTCTCGAACAAACGATGTGTGAGTGAGGTTCAGATTTTAGCATTTGCGGATTCCCAATGGTTCAGATATTAATGCATCTACTTAACTGTTGACCTAGCTATTGCCTTTGCCATTTGTATAGACAAAGTTTAAACCTGTCACAATTGTGTCTGTTTGGGTTTTCTTTGCCTTGGTGCGAGCGACTCAGCCTTGATAGAGTGGACAGCAACTTGCCCAGTTAAAGTTGTCATCGATGGTAAACTTGCATTTTCCAAAGACCTAATGGTACCTGTGACATGAATCTTTTTGGAAAAGTTTCTGAGGACGTCTAAACTCAAGAACATGTGATCAATTACTCACAGTTTCTCTCTTTCCAAAAGTTACCAAGTTCACGATGCCGAGTCGGAAAGTCTGGGTCCATCTACCGCCGCCTCAATAGCGTTCTCCCCAGCTCCGATAATATGATTTTGGCATTGCGCTTCCATTTGGTAGACTGATAGACAGAAATTCATGATATTTCGCGGACCTAAAGAGCTTGAAGCTCCTTAACCCAACCAATATACAATAGCCCAGTCACCCATATTGCGCGGGTTTCACCAGCGCTTCCCAAGAGCATATTGAGCTTTGACCAAATCCCTTAGAGAGCACATTGATAATCATCTTTCTATTTCCATTGACTGGAAATGACGCAAACTGGGATATGTCTGGGGGCTCATTGCCGCACGATTGTTTGGAGGACAATCCATATCTTCGTAGTCCTCTTCGAAGACTTTATGCCTTGACAACCGTGAGTGGTCAGTATTTGGGAGGTCAACGCATCTTTGAACGTTTTCTAATGGAAAAGAACGCAATGGCTCATTGCCGCATATCGAGGTGGAAGTGGAGGCATCAACGTATCAGACCGACAATTAGGGCGTGTTCGACCGTTAGCCAACCACGTGGAACAAAAAAGACCCCCACTCATGCAGAGTTATTCCATTTCATAAGTTCCTTTGCAGACAAACCGACACTACCGACAGATGGTTGTGAATATGGGTCAGAGGCCAAAAAAATGGAGATTGAGGGAATTGAACCCCCGACCTTTTGTAGTCTCATACTCGGTAGCCGAGTCATTGCAAAACAAACGTCATACCCCTAGACCAAATCCCCGAATGGATGATGTCGAGTGGCCGACGTATGATCACCTAATTGCAGTGCCGAGTTGTCCAGATCGAGACTTGATACTAAAGACTGGCTTGGACACTTCGAGACAGCTCAATACGCAAGGATGCAGGGAGAACATATTTGGTCTGATATCTGCGCATATTTTTGCAACCCAAAACCCGGTTACTTCCAATCAACTGATAACTCCACAGGACGGAATGTAATGGCGTTTCTCTTGGACGCGGAACCAAGCCCAGAAGTAGTTGCAGCATGTACCGCATGATACAAGCTCGAAGTCACCGGCAAGTTATGAAAATCTCGCCGAGTTGTTTTCCAAGGCGCTTGCATGTGTGGAACTCTACCAGATCTGATGAATCTGACAACCATGTAGAGCCAATTTCGTGTTAGACAAGAAAAATAGATAGGAATACTATCCCTCTCCTATTATCATCAGAATGGTTGTGAAATACAATCGTGTGCAAAAACTAAGTTCCAGACAAGGAGCCGTGCAAGGCTGCTTCTTCTTAAAAGTAAATCACAGAGTACCCACACTACAGGAACACAGCAGATGAAAGCTCAAATTATCTAGTCTCCCGGTACTCCCAAGCAAACACATTTATCTCCAGACACTCCCCGGCGATTCAAAACACCCTGACACATCTGCCGCATTTGATCTCTATCAATTACGTCTCAAATACGGTCCCTTGCACCGGTAGCTTTCCACTAAGCAAAAACTCGTCAATGGCCATCCTTGTCTCTCCTTCAAGTGGATAGCTCGTGTGGCCCGATCCATTTCACCAGATATTCACAGCACTCGGGATTTGCTCTTTGGCACCCTGTGCCCAAGAAGAGCTTGTCTCCGGATCGTAGAACGCATTCACCAATAGAAGTGGCGGCAATTTCTTTGCTTGCTCTAAATTCAACGTGTGTGCAGGGTTGCGTACTGGGGCTGGCCAGCCTGCACAATAGGCGGCAACGGTGAAAGCCTCAGATGCACCGCGTGTCAACGGTAGGAGTGCCGAGGCAACATCCAGAACGCTCTTGACATCTACTGCTGATACAAATGAGCTGCCATAATCTTGGCAATAGATAGCTCGGGCGGCATAGTCCGAGCCACCGTTTGGTTCAGTGTTGCTTGTCTTTAGCTTCGTAGAAAATCCCTTGGCATTGCCGTTCACTGCTAAGTTAATGCCATCCGCTAATTCTGTCCAATTTTGTAGGAAGGACTCGACAAATAGAAGTTGACCCTGGGCGTTGATGAGTACATCTTCGCCAGTGACATGGGACCTGCACAAGCCCTCGCTGGCCTCGCAGTGTGCAGGTAAAAGATGTGGCAGAGGCAAGGTTCTCGAAAATAGCGGTGAGGTCCTTGCCCTTAAGAGAGCACTCCTCCGTCTTGTTGCACCACAAAAAGAATTGTTCAAGCGTGGCTTGGTACGTCAAGGATTCCGCCATGATGACCGATATGCCTCCAGGGACCGAACGGTCTACCACAGCATCAAGGACCATGCGGCCGACCTTTTGTGGATAGATCTCCGCATATGTCTGACCTAGTATAGTTCCGTAGGAGAACCCAACGAAATTGAACACGTCTTCCCCAAGAGCCTGACGCAATAGTTCGTAGTCCTTGGCTGTTGATATAGAGTCCATGAAACCAACAAGAGGTCCGGTAAGCTCCAAGAAGCTCTGTCCCAGTTTCTTGTTGAACTCAACGAGTTTTGCGAAACTGGCATTATTCGTCGCAAATATTCCGGGGCAGTGTTCCAAATGTCCTTGTCGCATGAGATAGGGTTGCTGTAGCCAATGCCTCGCGTGTCGATCGCAATAACGTCGTAGCTGTCAAAAATCTCTTGGCTGAAAGCAGGAAAGGCAAGCAAGCCGTAAGAAATGGCTTGGAACACAACAGAGGATCCCGCTCCAGGGCCGCCGTTGTTGAATATAAGACTGCCCAGAGAGCCTGAGGTGCCACTTGCCTTTCGACGTGAAACGAACAGGTCAATACTGCCGTCTCTTGGCTTATCGTGATCGATGGGTACTGTCAGAGAGACGCACTCAAACTCTGCCGACATCATATACTCCGATGCACAGGTAGTGAAGTCGATATTTGGGTATGCCGGAACTGTTGTGTCGTATCCTTTCCATGGGTGGGCAAGTACTGTAGAAGAGAGGGCGACAAGGGCCATTGCCAACCCGCTGAGAACCGCTTCCATTGTCATAGTGTCTTGATGCGAGGTTGCTTGTGTATTTCTTTGGAACGAGTAATGTAGTATAAGCTGCTGAGTTGCAAGTGATAGGACACATTACCTACCTTTATACCATTCAACCCATGGCGACAGCGTCCAAGTCATTTATCTTAACTCCCAACTATAATGCCACATTGCCTAATGGAGTACTGGCCGGTAAATGTTAGCTTCAGCCACGACAAGCTGAAATGTGCGTGCGTTAATTGACGAGAGAGAGGGAAAATTCGGGCTGTAAATCCAGGCATAAGCCCCAATGAGCCTGGACTCATACGCATCAACATGCATGGATCAGTCGTATTGAGATGTAAGCTAACTAGACTGAGCCACGGCTAGAGTACTACATAGTAAGCTTGGTGTCCCGCGTACACCCGGCCAGGGTAGCATTGGAATACGTATTTCAACACAACGCAAATGCCGAGCCAACCCTACGCCGTCTTAGCCGGTCAAGAAATCCTTCGAAAAGACCACCATGCCCTGCGTGTGTCTGCTGCTGACGACCAACCCTCCAATCTCCATCTTTTCTTCTCAGACCAACGCCACCGAAGTCTTCATGCCAGGCCACTGGAATTCGTTTCGGGTTGACGAAAAACGCTTCCATCGTACACGATGTAGTTTGGACAGTTGCTGCTGACACCCCTCAGAACGCAGATATCAGTAGCTGCGAAACTCTCGTGTGCAATGTCATTGCATTCTACAGTCTTAGGCCAAAGGCCCGGAGACTTTTGAGCTAGAAATGTACCTATCACTGACTCAATTCCCAAGATATTCTCAAATCTCTCTCTCACCCTGGATCCAATTTTAAGCTACAGATACTTCGACTGCAGCGTACAACTGATCACGCTCTCTGCACATTGAACTGTCCTATCAATCGCTGACTTCAGTAATGATTTCGCGGATTCGAGTCTTCTTGGCTTTGACCGCCTCGCCCACCCGGCTCCGGAACGCAGGGTCCTGCTCGCTCTCCAGCGCGACGTTCTCGCTGAGAATAATCTGCAACATGCCATGCACGGAAGCGAGGTAGCTCCCAACAAACATGGTGATCTTCTCTTGAGTCTCATTGGCAACGAGGCGAAGCCCTTTGTTAAAGTCTCTCATCAGATCACTGAACAAGTCATCATTGGCAAGGGCGCCATTGATAATGGCCTTTCGTCGGCTATCACTTCCGGCTCCTGGAGGTAACGAAATACGTCAGTCATGTTTCAAGCACAGCCAGAGCATAAAAAGGCCTCTGTGCATAGAAGTATAGCTTCTGGCACAGAGCTCAGCTACTCACCGCTTTCCCTGTTGCACGCTCTATACGGCTTATCCATATATTCTCCCATGAGCGATGTTTCGATACCTGACAGAGCATATGTACCCAGTGTCCTAATGAATCAACTGTCAGTGTGCCGTGCTTTAACCCCATGGAGGAAATTGTTCGGCAACCTACTTCAAGCTACTACCGAGCTGCTCATAAGCTTCTTCAATTTTCCCCAGTAGAAGGGCTTGCTGAGACACGAGTGCATCAATGAGAGGCTCTGATATTTCCGACACGTCGCTCAGACCGGAGACTAGGATCCGAATCAGTAGGTGAACCATATGACAGTAGGTTCATGGTATTTTTTATTCAGCCAAACGCATAAAACTCCGCAATCAGGATAGTTGCATGTTCGTATTGGGGTTCGTTTGTGGAAGAGATTGGTTGTAGTCTCCTGAACTTACTCAAGTGCTCAATCGACCAGTCAGTCAACTCCTCGATGTGTTTTTCGACGTCGGCTTCTCGAGTCGAAACACTACCTCGAAAATCTATCCATGGTCGTTTCAAGTCTCGAACCATTCCGTCAATTGCTTCTTCGTTCCAATTGTGTTTCCCAGCTGCCCCAGTGCGGTAATTGCCATATTGCCGACAAAATGCAGAGTACGATGCTAAACTATTATTAGCCTCGTAACACTTTTAAAAAAAAGGACGCTATTAGTCAATATCATATCAACTCACCATGGTGCCACTAAGTATCACAGGTCAGCCAGGTTCATACTTGAGTAAGATGTCAGGGTAAATATATACGTACTCCACTCCACTCATATCCAGCTTCCATGGCCGACTCGCTCCACTCATAGATACACCGTTCTGTGGTATAAATGTTAACTTTCTGCAAGTGAAGACATTTTAAGGGAGGTACAAAGACAGCGTAACCCTTACTCTCGTAAACTTGTTCTAGAAAATCTTGTTTGATCGATTTCGCGACATTGTTGACAACAGACGAATTGGATTTCAGATCCTGTCCAGATTTGTCAGCTTGACTATTCTAAAAGAGCTTTCACAAAAGTACAAATCCAATATTTTTATCTACGTACTCTTTTCAGTCGGCTTTCGAGCTCATCGAGAGTACGCCTGACAACCTCCTTTCTCTCCGCATCGGCGGTGCCCGCACCAGATTGAACCCAGAGCTCGACTTGAGCGAACAGGGCCGGAATTTCATCTCTCATGTAGCGAGTGGCGAGACGGCGTTGGCTGTTTGCTACAATGGAGATGCAATACTTTCGTACTTCTAGGATGCCACTTAGCTGGAGGTGAGGAAGAGCAGCATCCCGTGGCTCCGTTCTGTTTTCCCAGTAGTTCTTGTTGCTCACACAAAACACTCTAAGATCGCCATTCGACACCTTTTCCCTGTATTGGTCTCGGAGTTTCTGATCAATCGTCGAGTTCCGCGTCCTAATAAGATAGTCCTGTAGCCTAAAGCACCGCCCCGCGCATTAGCATCTGGTACTTTTATTCACGTGGAG